TTAGCATATATCCTGTTAACTATCGTTCGAAATACCACATCCAAATAATAGCTGATATATTTATTACCCTGACCTGGGTGCCTCACCTGAATTTGGGTGACATGGCAGTGTTAAAGACTCAAAATTTTGTTGTGCTTCGAGTTCTTCACCGGCGACCAAATATAAATAAGTAATGCAATACACGTGACGTGGTCAGAAATAACTTATAAAAGCTCTCAGCAATGTTGTTAATATACATATAACTTGTTGAGAATAAACGAGGCGCTGAAATCATTTGAAACTTGAAAAGTTGTTTTAGAAAGCTGTCAAAACTGACAAGTAAAAAGTTGATACACGTTCGGAACGTTGTATGAAGAAATGAAAATAATTTTCAGCGTTCAACAATCGTGGAGTGAAAGATGTGCGCACGACACGGCCGCGGGTCGTCTCGCGTTTTGAAACGAGTTTCCAGAAGCGACGGTAATAAAAATACGGTTTTACCTTCTCGACGCTCGTTAAACCTGTTAGCAGACAGAAAAGTAATACTGGAGAACAGAAACGTGCATCGTAAAACGTGAGCAAGTGCTACGCGTGTGTGAAAATGCACGAGTCAACGGGAACCTGGCGAGCATCCTCGCGCGATTTCTACCGGACAAACAGGATTTTTTAGGTACGACCTTTTCGAAGAAGCATTGAACGGAGAAACCAAATTCAATTCGAAAACTGATGAAAATGTTCTCATAACTTGTACGAAGAAATAGTAATAATTCATTTTTTTATTTAATTCTTAAATCTTCATTATGTATCAACATAACTATAAGCGATCACGTGAAATGGTCAGTCCTTAATTAAATTTGACATTATTTCACAGTAAAAGAGAATTATACATATAGTGGCCCTCTTTAATATTCACACATATTTCAAAATAGAAATAACGTTTTAAAATATTGAACCATGTGCATAATCTCTTTCTGATGTTGGAAAACATAGATTCCTAGATAATGTATAGAAAATTTTTTTCTAAATTGTTATTGGCGAGAATCACGAAGAAACGACACGATTTTTAAGTTCTTTATTGGGGACACTAATGAAAATCTAAAATATGCTTTTTGTAGATCTAAGTAAGTTAAATGTAGACTGCGGATTTTTGTGCAGAATAAAATATTTATGGTATAATTTAAAAAAATGCGTTTTATCCGTCGTAGTATTGTCTAAATTGCTCATCCGCCAGTTGATTTTAAAAAATTTTAGAAAAGCTATCCCGTTTTCAGATGTATTCGAATACTAACGAGTGCCGCTGCATAAATGTTACGTTCGAATCTATTTTGTTTTAGATAGGCAATTCATTAGATGTAGCATGATATTGTTTTGAATAAAAATATGTTTGATATTCCACGTGGATTTTAGGAAACCGTTAGACGAGCCTGTGGAAGCAAACAGAATTCCGTGAGTAAACGGTTAAAGCCCGTAACGTGTTAAAATAACTTGGAAAATTCTAAGAAGCACTCGAACAGCCTAAGCTCCGTTACTTCGTCATTTTCTACGAGGGATCGCGGTTTTGCTTTCGTTTCGATGTCAAATATAGCCGTGCATCTGGTCTCAGCTTTCGAGCAAAGTAACAACACTTCGTCCGAGATTACGCTCGTTATTTTAGCCGCGATAAATCTGCCAAGTGTTGCAGCATTGTGGGAATCGTTTCTCGTTCGCTACTCAAACCGATCGATCGTGAAAAACGTTAAAGGGCAACTCAGTTCTACTAGAATAAAAATTCCTATTTTTCATTTTCCTGGCTCGATGATCGTTTTACGACGCGTGATTCACGCGCCACGGCTGCACTGTTCTCGTTCGTTTCGTAAGCAAAACTCGAATGAATTTACGGCGCTGGCAATTACGTTGCTGAGTGCAAAGTTAATTTACAGTTACCGGTCTATATCCGTCCGCCGTTCGACGACGGCGCAAGTCAAAACTTGGCTAACGAGGGCGAGAAAAAATATGGTCATGCTACCCTATAATTCTTTTAACGTAAACATGCATATTGACGAGTGAACAGTAAATTTAACATGGAAAGAAGATTGAATTTGGAACTGGAAAATAGGGGAAACGAGCCAAGAAAAATCGTTTATGATTCATTCCGATATCTCAATTCGTTCTACAGGGTGTCCCCGAAAAAGTGTTAGAGCCGGAGAGAGGTGATTCTATAAGTGTTTCTGATCAACATTGTCCTTTGCCAAAATGCAAAGTGAGGCATGGTTTTTAAATTATTAAAGAAAAACACTGACCAATAAGAGCGCGTGTAGGGCCCGCGCTGATAATGGATGATCGAATTTATAAGTTTGTAATAAAGCTGTTATCTGGACTTTCTTAATCTTATCATATCTTAAATATCTCTTTGGATTTCACATAATGGATAATTGGATTTATAAGTTTTAAATAAAATTGAGTATCGGGAATTTTTCAATCGTATCGTATCTTGAATCTATTTGGATTTCACATAATGGATAATTGAATTTATGTTTTTAATAAAATTGAGTATCGGGATCTTTTCAATCTTATAATGTCGTATACGTATCATATTTTGAACATCTGTTTGGATTATGTAATTCTATATGCTTGTATGTAGTCTTGGTTATGAATTTCGAGATGCCATATAATTACCGTTTGTTCTTTGAACAATCCTAAAAATCGCAAATCCGTATTTTGTGTCCGTATGTAAATCTAGATCATCGAGTCGACAACAAACGAGGCTTGTGCATACTTGAAACACTGTTTTTTATTGGCCTTTCCATTGTACAATAATAAATAATCAATTAGTAATGTGTTAAGAGGGGAGAAAATCATTTGCGTGTGGCTAAACAAAATTCATCACGACGATGTTAAGACTAAATAACTAATAAATCATTCCTAAGATAATGTAATGCGTTGTAATGTAACATGTGTATATATATATGTATTATACATATATATTTTTGTGTTTATATGTATATTTTGTTTTTATATATATATATATATATATATATAGTTTCTTAATATGTTTAATAATGAACATCGACACTAAATTGAACGAGTAAACGAGTCATTTGTAATGTGTATCGTTTCACGCCCTAGCTAAACGGATTCAACATTTCTTTTCCATTTTCATTTTAGACCGTTCGATACCTTTTTTATTATGTACAACGCGAGTGTCGCAGGATATAGTTCTTTTTATGAAAGCACCATCTCCGCGTGATATCCATTACGATTTCCCATCGAATCGTGAGTCAAATTCGACGCTGAAGAGACGCTCGTAGACGCGTCTCGCTCGCGAATTGCACCTCTCGGATGAAATAATCGGCTACGCTCGTCTTATCGGTCGAATCCTCGTTATTCTTTTTTATACGACATCAATTCTACAAAAATATTCAATTTCCTTCGAATTTTTCAGAGCACCACCTTCGCGACATCTCTAATTCTCTGCATCCCGCACAAACATTTTTCTGTTCCTGAACAGTTTTCTCAATTCTCTACAATTTCTTTTTAAAATAACGCATACTTGAGACAGGTCCTTCAATGTCTCCGTATTATATTTTCAATCACTTTGCTCGTTTCACTCGCTCGGCTACTTTTTTAAATTGTTTGAGAAGATATGTGTGAGAGAGAAAAAAAACACGACGAGTTAGTATAGAAAACTCCTCGACTCTCGCTCATGAATTTTATTACGAGGTATTCGAGGACTGGGTGTCAAGGGGAACAATGGGTAATTGTTGATAACGTTCCACTTCTGTTGGGTTAGGGTGCCTCAATTTTTTTTTAGAGAGAAAAACAACGAAAAGCGGGAAAAAATAAAACTATGCACGGGTATCCTCGGTGGATCGCGTTCAACGGAGAAACATGGTTCTGAGACAATTTTTATCCCATTATCAATTACGTATTTATTCATAGACTTCTGTCGTATATTCTCTCTTTCCAATACAATGTTTACATTTCTGTGCTCAGAGAGTAACATGTAATTTTTCATATCTCGTACACAATAAAATTCTTTCCTTCGACTTGAAATGACTTTCTTATCAGATTTCAAGACCTGGTTTCAGGTTTTTATTTTTTGTATGGATAATAAATTGTCTCAAGCACGTGCAGGCTTCTCCGTCAGAGGCCTGTCCCGTCGATTCAATCGCGCTTCGTGTTAGCAATTGAATTTGTTATCTTTTATTCAATTCTTACTTTTGACGATGAGTTTGGCGGACGTTTCTACGGTGCCGGCGGAAGTGGTAGCTCGGCAAGTGAACGTGCCGGTGTCTTCTTCGTAAGTGGTTGCTATCAGCAGCACCGCATTGTTACCTTCGTGAATCATCTGCGAATCATTTGAACATAGTTTAAATTCTCGGTTCGAACGAGATAATTAATTAAAATCTCGTTTCTGATTTTCTGCATTAAATTAGAGTAAATCATAAAAGTATTATTAACTTCTTTCTTATTGGATGGAACAACATAATTTTTTGTAGGATGTTATAAGACTTAGTTTGCTATGTACTGTATGGGAAAGAATGTATTAAAAATTTTGAGATGAATTAGGTCTTACTTAACGTTTTGTTTAAACGTATTGGCACTCGTAGTGCAAGTCACGACTTGGCTGAAAAGTTTTTACTTACACCATTATGGCCTTTACCGCCTCATATAATACCTTAATAACTTATTATTATAATTATCCAGAAATGACAAATTTCTCTCTCTCTCTCTCTCTCTCTCTCTCTCTCTCTCTCTCTCTCAATTACAAATTTATTATTTAACTCACTTGGAAATCCGGTGATTGAGGAATCAGGGCACCTTCTCTGTACCACTGAATGTTAGGCTTTGGTTTAGCCGGAGTAACTTGGGTCTTGAATTGAGCCGGTTGTCCTTCCACGACTACTTGATCTTTCAATGGTGTAACTTTAGGAAGAACGTCAGCTGCGTCTGGGGCTGCAATAAATATTCGTTTCAATTAGATAAATTTTAATGAAAAATTGAATAGCATAGAAGTATTGATTCTCACCGAGAACTCTAAGGTTGGCCGAAGTTGTTACATCACCAGCTGGATTTTTGGCGATGCACTTGTAGACACCCTCGTCTTCGGGGAAGGCCTCGGAGATCCTTAGGGTGCATAAGTCGCCTTCCTTTTGCATTTGGAAGTATTTGGACGGCTTGATGACCTGAATTAATAAAACATTTTTTCACACTGTCTTTAATTCTATCGAAAAGCAAAATCTGTCTATAGATTATAAAATCCAAGGCAGTTCGTGAAATGCAAGATCTATTTTTATATGCATTAAAAATGGAAATAAAAATGTTGTATTAGTCACCTTGTCGCCTTTCTTCCATTGCACAGTGGGTACCGGTTTTCCGGTGATCCTGCAAGCGAAGGCGACTGATGTTCCCTCTTTGATAGTTTGATCTCTCAATGGTTCTGAGACGGCTGGTGCTTTTTCGACACCTGGCGTCGTCGGCTTCGCCGTTTTCGTTGGCGACTGAGGTCCTCGTACGACGCATTCAGCATCGCAACGGGCCTCTCCGGCGCTGTTCAAAGCGACGCATTCGTATTTGCCCGAATCCTCTGGCACTGTCTCCAGAATCAATAATGTATAAGTGTTGTCTTCTTCGAGTGTCTTGTAACGAATGTCTGCCGTCACTTTTTTGCCATTCTGTACAACAAATTGAAGAGAATGAATTGACATTTAAAGAACAATTAAAAAAAATAAGTAACACATAGACATAAGAAAATAGATGATATATTTTTGTTGATCTTATAAAAGATAGAAATAACATAGTTCTTTTTTCTCTCAAGTGAGTTCTTTTAAGTCTTCTATTTGTGCACTTGATCTATTTTTACATGCCTATGATGTAATACTAAATTTTATCAAATAAGTTATCAAGCTTGGATTATTTATTATTCAAGATACCTTCAGCCAGTAAACGTCTAAAGGCTTGGTTCCAGTCACTTTGGCATCAAATCTAGCCAATTGTCCCGTGGTAACCGACGTGTTTTGAATGGTAGATAGGAAGCTAGGTGGTATCACACCTCCTCTTCCAGGTTGTCGTCTACGCTCCTCGACCACCAAATTGGCGCTGCACTTGGCCTTTCCTGCACGGTTCTCAGCAATGACAGAGAACACACCTGAGTCCTCCATAAATACTTGTCGTACAATCAACACCGATTTAGTGCTGAACGTGTAGATTTGAAGATCCGGCGAATTTTGAATGGGGAAGTCCTCACGGTACCATTTGATGGTAGGCAATGGGTCGCCATCAAACTCGACTTCAAATCGGGCCTGTTCCTGCTCGAACGCTCTGCATGGTTGAATTTTCTTGGTGAACACCGGAGGCGTAGCCGGTTTCATCGGGCCCTGGACCACGCGTTCTTGGGTCTTAGCTTTGTGCTCCACTTCCGTGGTTTCTGTGGCGGTTATTTTCCTGGTGATCTCCACATCGCCTTTGTGTTCTTTCTGCGTTTGCTTCTGTTTTGCAACATGAACTTCGCGACCGTGAACTGTCGACTCGGACGGTTCTGGTGGATGTTTAGCTTTCGTACGCTCAACATCTATATCCACCTCCGTCGTAAATGGTTTCCTCACGAACTTCTGTTGGGTCTGCGTCGTCTCCTGGCTCCTGTCTTCCCTCTTCTCCTCTTTTCCTTCCCTGCAAATTTTTATTAAAAAGATTCTTTTAATTTACAGCTCCATCCTTAATTTCGATTATTTTATAAATCATTTACGTACAAGGTTTCTTCATATTGTTGAGCCATTCCCTTGGCCACAGACTGGGCAACGACCTTCTCTCCAGGAATAGCGAATTGATGACTAGCTTCTCTGAGCCTGCTCTCCTTCAAGACCTGTTCTTCCTCAAGGTTCATTAGCTTGTTGTAATAATCCTCGTTCTTCTTTGTCTTGACGGTCTTCTGCCATTCGGCCTCTGGCTCCTTGAACACCTTCTGACCAAGGTGCTCTGTGGCGATTTCGATGCCTTGCGAGATGTTGTGGTGTCTCTCATCGAAAACTTTCTCGAGCTCTGTGTTCTGTCGCTCCGCTTGGTATTGGGTCAGCTCGTAATCATACCACGCTACAGAAAAATCACGTTACACTCGTTTCTCGGTTACGCGTGTGCAACCGACAACGCATGCTAGATACATTCATCTTCAAAAATATTCCGTTCCTCCTTGACCAACATTTTCAAAACAAATAACAAGATTCGAAATATAAATTGAATTTTGTTAAGTAAAAGAGAATTAATTAATATTGATGTAATACGCGATAATTAACATGATTTTTCGATGATAAACTGGAGAGAACGGTATATTTTTAATAGTATTGACGCTCGCCACAAACCTAAGATCAGTTAAGCTTGAGAAACAGTGTAGTTTGCAAATAATTTTTAAACGAATTCACATTTTCACGGTTTGTGCTGAGCGTGACACAGAGAACCACGGGGAAATACGACACAGTACTTCATTGGCGATGCAACACATATTGGCACCAGCTGCACGAGAAGAGCAGGGCCCCCGGAAAAATCAGGCTACCGGAGACAGAGGTGGACATCGATATTCTGAATAGCTTTCTCTCTATTCTATTCTAACATTCCAACCAGGGACACTTTTGGGAAAATTATATTCATTGACTCGGAGTCATGTACAACATTTAGATTTTCATTAGGTTGCATTATCAGTTATTTACAGGGTTCCGGTATTAATAGATCTTCATTTGACAAGCATATTCCAATAATTGATATATATTTGAATAAAAGTTTCATTTCTCATATAATTGAATCTCTGCTACTCGAAACTCGATTTGACAGGAGACGAAGGTACCAGGAAGTTTATTTGTTATATTGAAACAGAGTTGCGCGACACTAGACACGATAATAGCATTTGGAGAAATACGGACTCCGCTTGATCTAGTGAATAAATAAATTAAATAAAATTCAGATGAAATCTCCTTAAAAATACAAGCCGAGTAATAGTCGCTTTCCCCAGTGCGCACTTTCTAAACGCACGGAGGAAAAATATTTCATACGAAAATAATCGCCCTTCAATGAATTGACATAAAAAAAATGTATGACTGCTTCTTGATTAATGATAGGAAAATATTTTTCTCCGTGCAAATCTCGTAATCGGGAAACAAAAAATGGAAAACAATAAACATGTATGTGTATGTGAATACAAATAAATAAAAACAGTCTAAAGAACGTGTTGGATCCATTCTCGATGCTTAGTGTTCCATACCTGAGAACGTCGGTTCGCAAAACGAAGAAGTCGATACCTTTTAGACGACGAATCGCTCGAAAATCGGCTCATGGGATTCCCGAAGCTCGACGAACAGAAGGAAGAAGCCGCTCGCGTAGCTCGAGGACGATCTTTCGAATCCTTTCGTTCAACAATTTCTTTTTGGCAGCGGGAGGGAAGAAGATGGAAGGGTTTCGGAGTTGAACAGGTTTCTTTGGTGTTCGAATAGTCTCGAGTGTTTAGAATTTTCTGTACTCGAATTGAATGCATGTGTCGTATCGATATCTCATGTGGGTACTGTGTTGTCTTTAGAAATTTCAGTACACGACTTATTTTTTTCTTTTCGTAATTTCTTTTTTTCTCGTGTATCATCGTTGTGCCTTAATGGATCATTTGTCATTTGTATGTACGTGCATCCTTTGCGTTGCTTCATTTTAAGTTCTGTTTGTAATTCTCATGTTGTTATGACGGTATCAGGTCAAGTCAATAGAAGAATTGAAATATGTTTCTGTGTATAGATGCGTCTGACGCAAAGAATGCGACGACATGTTTTCATGTAAGGGAGTTCCTGTTCTTTTGGTTTGAACTTACGTCTCGGCGAATTTTTCAATACACCGCGGTAATCGTCGCTCCTCGGTTTTACGGTCAACGTGGTCTCGGTGCGAGCCTCGCCCACGGAACTTCTGGCGATCACTTCAACTTTTCCGTGATCGTATTGTCTCGTCTTCGGGATGTCCAGATGGTACATGCCGTCGTACGTTAGCTTATAGCGTGAACCCTTGACAAAAAATTTTCAGATTAAAATTCCCTGCGATCAATTTAAAAAATCCGATTAAAATCAATGCTTACGTTGACTACAGTGTGTCCGTTGATGATCCACATAACTCTTGGTCTTGGATGGCCAGTGACTCGACAGCAGAACCTGGAACAGTCACCTTCTTCGACGGTCACTGGTTCCGGTTTGCTGACGAATGTAGGAGGTGCCCGCACCTTCTCCTCTTCGCCCTCTTCCTCAGGTACTCTATGAAACAAAATGAGTTCAAGTTAAAATTTAATATAAAATACATTTTTCATTTTTCATTCTATAAAAAATATTCTCGATCCTTGAAGTAGTGCTTTCTATCACAGATAATTAGAAAACCTTCCGAGGCAAAACGTTCTCCTAATTTTAATACAGAAACAAACAGTTCGATTTTCCAATTTTAATTAATAAAAATAATTCTCACATTTGCCATGCAGCTTCCATCTCTCTGATCTTCTCGATACTCTTCATGCCCTTCGGTAGCTGCGACTCATAAATGATGCCAGGCTTGCCAGTGGTTTGTATCACTGCTCGCGTCTCGTCCATTCCGTAAAGATTCGTAGCTCTGCACAAGTACTCTCCGCTGTCTTCGGGGTACACCCAGCCGAAGTTCATAGCCACGTAGCCGAAATCGTAAATCGGCGTGAACCTGTTCTTATGAGGTAACGGTCTGCCGTTGAAGAACCATTCTACTTTCATGTTCGGATCGCCGACAGGCGCTAATTGGCATTCGAATTTGGTGGTGTTCATCTCGACCAAGTCGGTTTGGTCTTGAATCTGCGTAACGAAACGAGGTGGCTGTTTCTTGTCCGCGTCGTACAAATCATCTTCCGTCAAATGCACTTCTGACGTATATTTCTTGATGGTTGCTTCCATCTGCATCAGCGCTTCCGACTTCTTCATACCCTTTGGCACTTGATTTTGTAATATGATGCTGGGCAATTCTGTAGAAAAGGAAATAGTGCATTTTATTTATCCATTTTTATCAATTAGTCTATGGAAAATTGTTAGTTGTACTGTATTATGATTAGACTGCCGATTTTATGCATTTATAACAAAAATTGAATGTATCGAAAATAAAAACACTGTACGTAATGTGTAGAAATGTGCAGAACGTCAAAAGCGAAGATCATATGCATATTGCAATGCTTAAATGATAACATTGATTAACTTGCCTTCGATAAAATGAGCAAACGGAAGAAAAATAAAAAATAAAGAGAAGAGAAACTTATAAAGGCAAAGGATAAAAAATGGAAAGAGATAGGTACGACAATAAAAAGTAAGAAGAAGAATACGAACAAGATGAGAATAGCATTAAGATGTCTGATAAGAATATTGTATAAGAATGGCGAAGTTGATTTAAGATTTCACTAGGAAGGGAATCAATTACAAATATGTATATACAACACTTACTCTTGCACGATACCGATGCCCTAGTGGTGTCTTCTCCCAGATCGTTAATAGCCTTGCACACGTACTCTCCAGAGTCCTCAGGATAAACATACAAAATGTCCATAGATACGAATCCCATATCATACGTTGTCCTGTATCTATGTCCAGCCGGAATCAGTTTTCCATTTCTGTACCACTCGATACGTAGGTTTGGATCATCTTTCGGTTCCACGCGACACTCGAACCTAACTGGTTCGGATTCGTCGACGGTTGCTGATTGAATTTGCGTGATGAATTTCGGTGGTTGACGCGGGGGCTCTTCCGCGGGTGGTTCGCTTATTGGTCCACGTTCCAATTCCTTCAGCTTCTCACCGCTCATGCCCGATGGCAGTTGGGAGTCGAAATCTATTGTTTTCTTAGCTGTAATCATGAAATATTTATCATTATCATTGTCCATTTCATAAAATGATGTTTATAATAATTAGTTTGGGAATAAATTGAATATTACAGGACCAATAAAAAAGAAACTGTGACATGAGTATAATAATTAATAAACAAATTTTGTTATGCTCACATTTGCAAGTGATTGTAGCTTTGGTGGTGGCAGAGCCCCATTTGTTGGTAGCTCTACAAACGTATTCGCCACTGTCCCTGGCATAAGTGTACGACATGTCCAATGAAATAAATCCAAAGTCGTTGATCTGGTGTACACGCGAGCCAGTAGCGAATGATCTTCCATTATGGAACCAATCGATGCGCATAGTGGGATCTCCAACAGGTTCAACTCTGCAGTCGAAGTGACTGGATGCTCCTTCCTCAACCTCGATATCCTTCAGCTCCACGGTGAACTTCGGAGGATTGGGTGTTTCTTCTTCTGCCAGGATCTCGTCCTTCTTGTACAAAGCCTCTTCTAATTTCTGAATGCTTTCCGTTCCGGTTTTAAAGTTGGTCGGCAATTGAGGCTCCAGGATGATGCCTTGACGTCCGCGAACTTGCAGCTTGCAGGACACCGTCGCTTCGCCGTGTCGATTAGTTGCCTTGCAAGTGTACAGGCCTGAATCTCGTTGATAACAATTGGCCACTTCAAGGATAACAAAGCCAAAGTCGTGAATTGTTTTAATCCTACTTCCAGCCAGGAGAGCTTTTCCATTGTGGAACCATTCCACTCTCATGCTGGAATCGTGGATCGGCGTTAATCTACACTCGAAGTGCGCCAGAGCGTTTTCGGCCAGGGTCAAATCAGACGGCGTGGTGATGAATTCTGGTGGTTTCCCGGTGTCGTCGTCAGGAGTTACCTCGCCCGGCACGGCTCCCAAGCCTTCCAGCTCTGCGATCTTGTCGATGGTACTTTCCATTCCCTTCGGCAATTGGGACTCGAGAATGATGCTTCGTTTCCCTGTGCACTTCATCGTGCAAGTGGTCACAGCCTCGCCGTACTCGTTCGTCGCACGGCAGCTGTATTCGCCGGAATCCTCCGGGTAGATCGGTGAAATCTCGAGGATCACGAAGCCGAAATCGCAGAATGTACGGAAACGAGATCCCGTTCGCAGTGGTTTTCCGTTCCAGAACCATTCGACCTGTTGAAAAAAATTAATTTTGCAAATAAGTGAATTTATTTTGTGTTCTCTCTCTCGTTTTCTTAAATAAGAGAGTGTTTCATGGTTATTAATTTGAAATGTTTATCAAATTTTTGTATTCATTAGTGACAGTGAATTATAATTACCTTTAGTTTTGGATCGTCAGTGGGTGTAAGCCTAGCTTCGAAATGCGCGCTCTCGCCCTCGCGAAGACCATCTATATTACTCAATGGTACAGTGAACATCGGAGCTTTGCCACGTTCCTCAACAACCTTCTCATCCTTCGTACGAATCATAGAATCTTCTAAAGTCTGGATTTTTTCCAAGCCACCTTCCATTCCCTTTGGAAGCTGTGACTCCAAAATGAGACTCGATTTCGAGTAGCACTTCAACGTCGCCTTCGTACTATCTTCCCCGTATTTATTGAATGCTCTGCACTCGTATACTCCAGAGTTCTCTTCGTAACAGTACAATATATCCAAGATGACTATACCAAAATCGTGGAAGGTTCTGTATCTGTGTCCATGCGGCAGCTTCTTGCCGTTGTAGTACCATTCGACCTTCAAGTCTGGATCGGTCACAGGCGTAAGTCTGGCCTCGAAGTGCGCCGATTGTCCCTCCACCAGTTTCGTGATGTCAACGATTTGGGTGATGAATTTCGGCGGCTCGGCAACTGGAGTAGTCGGCGTGGTTGGCTGTTCACCACCAAAACTCTCCAGTTCTCTAATCCTCGCAAGAGAGTCAGGCTGCAACGAATCGAGGTACACTCCACTCTTCCCAAAGCACTTCAGAGTAGCCTTGGTGTAATCTTCACCAAATTTGTTGCTAGCTTTGCACACGTATTCTCCAGTATCGTGGGCCATCACTCCAGCAATGTCCATTACAACAAATCCAAAATCGGACACCATCTTGAATCTAGAAGAGTGTCTGAGCGGTTGACCATTATGGAACCATTCTACTTTCATATGAGGATCGCCGACAGGAATCAACGTGCACTCGAAGTGCGCTGATTGACCGTCTTTAAGACCTTCCAATGATTGTATGTGTGTCGTAAATTTGGGCTTTTGTCCTTTAGACTTGTCCACGCATTCTAGTTGTACGCTGATCTCAGCCTGACCCCATTTGTTGGTGGCTCTGCAGGAATAAGTACCGGAGTCCTCTATCTTGGTTCCGAGCACCTCGAGAACGACCATACCGAAAGCGTAGACTGTTCTCGTACGATGACTGGCCTCTAAAGCCTTGCCGTTGTAGAACCATTCGACGACCATGGTCTGATCGCCAGTTGGTGTAAGGGAGGCTTCGAAGTGAGCGATCTCTCCTTCAGACAAGTTGGTCAGGTTCTCAAATTGAGATGTAAATACAGGTGGATGACCCTCTTCGCTCTCTGGCGCAGCTCCCGGAGCTCGTTTCAAGGATTCTTCGAGATCTTGGATTGCCTCGAGACCTTCCTTGCCCTTCGGATGTTGAGACCTCTCAATAATATTCTCCTTCGTCGAGCAGTAAATAGTAGTCGAAGTGAATGCTTCTCCTGCTTTATTGTAAGCTTTGCAAGTATAAATCCCAGAGTCCCGCTCGTACACATCAGTCAGGTCCAAAGTGACAAATCCGAAATCGCTAGTCATTTTGAATCTCGATCCATGCTCCAAGGCTTTGCCATTGAAATACCACTCGATCTTCAAGTTCGGGTCATCCTTGGGTTCCACTTGACCTTCCAAGTGAAGAGGCTCGGACTCGCCAAGTTTGAACTCTGGCTGCAGAGGTACAGTCCAGATTGGTTTTGGATATTCTTGTTCTGGCCCGGCATCTGGTCTTCTCATTTTAGACAAATAAGCATCTTCCGCTTCCTTTACTTTCTCCAAGCCAGCCTCTCCTTGAGGATGTTGCGTTTGCAAGTATATGTTTTGTTTGCTGGTACATTTCAGAGTGCCGGACGTCTGAGCCGATCCCTTCGAGTTCGTAGCCTTGACGATAACCACTCCTGAGTCTTCTTCGTACGCGTGATTGATGTCTAGAGCGACGTAGCCGAAATCGTAGGTGGATTTGAATCTAGCACCAGTTGGCAGTGGTTTTCCGTTGATGAACCATTCAATCTTCATCGTCGGGTCTTTCGACGGTTCTACGTTGCACTCGAAGTGTACGTTGTCACCTTCCAAACACTCGACGTTGTTCAAGTGAGTGATGAACACCGGTTCCTCGTAAGTGGGCTCTGGTTGGTCGGTCGTGGTCACATGGGGCTGCTCCAGGGCATCGATTTTCGGCAAAGCGTCTGGATGAAGAGTATCCCCGAGCAACCAGTGGCGATCGACAATCTTCAAGCTGCAGGTGGACACAGCTTCTCCTAAAAGGTTCGTAGCTTTGCAAGTGTAAATTGCCGAGTCGTCGGCTCTCAAGCCGTTGATCGATAAAGTGACTAGACCGAAGTCGAACGTGCTACGTAATCTGGTTCCCGTTTGGAGAGACACTCCGTTTTTAAACCATTCTACTCGCAGGTTCGGGTCTGCTCTTGGCTCTACTTGAGCTTCCAGATAAACGTGTTGACCTTCCACGAGTTTGTCGTAACTTTCGAGATGCTTGGTGAAGACTGGAGCTTGTTGAGGTGTCGTGTCGACGAACATTTCTGGTACTTTGTTCATTTCTGCTTCCTTCAATTGGATCTTTTGCCATGCGTCTGGTTGCAGACTGTCGGCGTCGATGGCTGAGCGCGCTTTTACTTTCAAGGATATCGAGGATACTGCCTCGCCGGCTTTGTTGATCGCCCTGCAGGTGTACACACCGGAGTCCTCGGTGATTACTTTTAGGATGTCCAGAGTCACGTAGCCGAAATCGTGATTCATGTGGAACCGAGATCCTGTAATTGAAACGTCACAATTTTGATATCAAGTATAATTTTAAAATAAATAATCTCACTCTCGTGTTGTACTACAAAATCTATTTGACTCCAGTCTTTACTAAATTATAATTAAATATATGTATGTGCATGACTAAATTTCAGTTCTTAAGTACTCTCTTGTGTTAGAATTCTAAATTGAAAATAACGTTTGAATTTCAATTCTTAATTAAGGAATTAATAATAATGAATCAATTGAAAATTCTACAATCCTGCAGTGCCACACGATAACTAAACTGGTGAAACAATATAATTATTTCAAGATAAATTTGATCCTTACCCATCTTAAGTTCGCGTCCATTCACGTACCACTCGAATCTCAAATTAGGATCACCGACAGGAACAACCCTGCACTCGTATCTTGCCAGTTGACCTTCCCAAAGTTCCGTGGGACCAGTCAACAGCTGCGTGAAAATTGGTTTGTCGAACGTTTTCTCCGGTTCTTCCGGACGCTGCGGCTTGTCAGCCTCAAGCTGTGCAATCTTGCGTTGCGCTTCAGGGTGTTGCGTGTCCATTTGGATACTAGCCTTGCTTCGTATCTTCATCGAAGCAGTCGTGACTGCTTCACCAAGAGCATTGGTGGCACGACACATGTATACACCCTCGTCTTCCTCTCTCACATGACTAATGTCCAACGATACATATCCGAAGTCGTGAACTTTCGTGATTCTCGAGCTGGTTTCAAGCGGGATCTCGTTTCTGAACCATTCCACCTTCATTGTAGGATCGCCTACAGGGATTAATCTGCATTCGAAGTGAGCGGTGTGTCCCTCGGGAATCGCGTCAATGTTTTGCAACGGTTGAGTGAAGACTGGCCTCTGCCTAGTCTGTGGTTCCGGCACTTCCGGTCTCTTCCACGGTTGCTGCGATTCCAACTCGCGGATCTTGTCCAGACCTTCGGGTCTTTGCGAGTCGAGAATGATGTTGTCTCGAGGAATAACTTTTAGTTCTATCGAGGAGACACATTGGCCAAGTGCGTTGATCGCTCGCACAGAATATTGTCCTGCGTCTTCGGGTACCGCGTGGCCGATGTCCAGAGCCACGTACCCGAAGTCGAACGTCACGTGGAACCTAGACGCCGATGGTAACGGCTTGCCATTGTGGAAGAACTCGATACGTAGGTTGGCGTCGTGAAGGGGCTCGATTTGACACTCGAAGTGAGCTGTTTGCCCTTCATATACTTCAGTGGTACCCTGAACATAAACTCATATCATAAATATTTATTTCGCATAAAAACCCGTGGTTTACTAATAATATTAATATCTAATCATTAATTTAATGTGTAATATTTAAACAAACTTACCCTGAGTTCGGTAACGAATCTGGGCGGTGTAACTGGTGGTTCTTCAACTTCTAAACGTGCTGGGCGACCTTGAGCCTCGAGCTCACGAATCTTCTCGAGGCCATCAGGATGCTGAGTATCTAAGAGAATGCTGCGGCGAGCTAAAAAAGATATTAAACGTCACCAATAATCCCATCAGTAACAAATCAAGTAAATTACGATCGGTATTAACCAAAGAGTTTATTCTTCTTTTAACGCGAACACAATGCACATCCTTAATAATTTCTAACGCGTATAATCCCACAGGGATCCGGACCTTCGAACGTGACACGACGATTAACGTTACGAAATTTCAATTTTCTACATTTATCACAAAATTCTCGTTTCTTATCATTAAAGTACAACTCTGATTTTATTCTCGTTGGGAAATACGTTTCGTCTTTGGGACACCTCTTGGAATAATGATTAGCTGCGCTTTTGCAACGATATCTCTCACAGACACAATTTTTATTCGGTCCCATAATTTGTTCGTTACATCCAGATGATGTCACGGAAAATGAAGTGAATTTGGGCTTGGGATAAGGCAAACTTCTTGGGAAAAATTGCTGTGGTTCTTCGTTTTCGTGACATTTCATTCTGTGGATTATTGTGGGAGGTTTCAGGGGCAGGAATCGAGGTGGGGAGTACCCTGGGTATTTTGCTAGGAATTAAAAAGTACTCCGTTCAAAAATATAAAATCATCGATGGAAACGAAAATAGATGGTAAATGAATTTCTAAATTGGAGCATGTTACTTACAGCCAACTTTGATGGTGCAGGTGTTGACAGCCTCGCCAGCCAAATTGGTAGCCTTGCACATGTAAGTACCTGAGTCTTCAGCATAAGTGTAGAGAATATCAAGTGCCACATAACCGAAGTCATGAGTTTTGCGGAACCGATGTCCCGTTTTCACGGCCTTTCCATTTACGAACCTAATTCAGAATTAAATTCACTCAAATACCAATCAATAAAACATAATAAATTAAAACTTTCATTAATAATATTGTTATAAATTTATATAATTATATTAACTTCATATTAATAATAATAATATTATAAACAGGACAAATTTGATTAGATCTAACTCGTGTTAAACAAACTTACCATTCGATCTTCAAATTCGGATCGTTGATTGGTTCGACGCGGCATTCCAAGTGAGCGTGTTCACCTTCCTTTAGATGATCCAGGTTGTTCAACGGCGTTAAGAATACGGGCTTCTGGTGGACGACCTCCTTTTCAACCTCTTGTTTCACCTCTACGGTTTCTAATTCGCGGATCTTCTGCAAACGCTGAGCGTCTAGCGTATCGAGGTAGAGGCCTTGTTTCGCTGTTCAACATAAAAGGACAATTTTTTTATTCTGATTTTTTTTAACTTATAAATTTGGACATCGCTTGAAAGGTTATAATTTATTTTATAACAAACGAGACTGTCAGATGTCTAAAATTAATTCATAGTTTAATAAGGACGTGAAACAATTTTTCTGAATTGTGTATATACTTTTTTAATTATTGCCTGGAGTTTATCTTGACAAGAACGTAATAATAATTAGTTCAGTCAAATTTAATTATTAATAACAGTATAAAAAATAGAATAAGTGTTTTCATGGTATCGTGTTTGTTTCTTAAAGTTATATTTGTAAATTTTTAATTGCAAAATGGACTCACAGTCGACGCTGATGACGCAAGTAGTTACAGCCTCGCCGACAGCGTTTCTGGCCTTGCACATGTAAGTTCCGGAGTCCTCCGGGTAGGCATAGAGGATATCGAGGGCAACGTAGCCAAAATCGTAGGTGGTCTTGAACTTGTGACCCTGAGGGATAGGTCTGCCATCCCTGAACCATTCGACCACCATGGTGGGATCGTTCACAGGCGTCAGAGTCGCTTCCAGATGAGCGCTCTTCCCTTCGGGCAGGTGTTCTATGTTCTTCAACGGGCGACCGAACTTCGGCTTCTCGGCGATGATCAAATCGTCGTCCTGCACGCGTTTATAGCGCGAATCGTCCTCCAAATATTGAATCTTCTTCAGAGCGCTTTCGTGCTGCGTATCGCGAATAATCGAGGCGCGAGCTGTAACGTGGCATGCTTTCAATTATCAACTTCTTCTTACCAAATGTGTTGCACTTGGAGGACAGAAGGGAATCTACATAACTCACGGTAAATAAAAGATAAAAAAAAGAACATAGGAATATAACAATCGGGGAGACAACTAAACACCAAAAGGTTCGTCATTCGCTCTGTGTGTATACAATTTTACAAAGCGGAACTACGTATTGAAGCCACGGACATCTAGAAGCGTTGGAAAACAAGGTATCTAGGTGACACAAAGTGCTTTACATCCACCTGCTGTCCCCGTGCGCTCGTAGAAAGTATCGATCTTATAAGATAATTTTCCAATTACATCTCCCACGATAATTAAGAAATTAACTCAAAGGAATCTATGTTAATCATGAATTTAATCAATTCTTCCTATTTTCTTAATAATTTTCTAAATCAAATGTTTAAAAATTATCTCATCGCTCTGAACGATACTTCTACTCGAATTCCCTCGACTTACGCAAACTTTCCCAGGTTTTCCACCTCCAACTACTTACACTTCACGTCAAGATTAATCGAGCTCTTCGCCGATCCCAGCCTATTGGTGGCCTGGCAGGTATAGGTGCCAGAGTCCTCGGCATATACAGTGAGCACGTCCAACGCAGCGAATCCAAAGTCGCAGGTGGTTCTGTACCTGTGGCCAGTTGACAGAGGCTTGCCATTGTGGAACCACTCGACCTTCATGGTCGGGTCCGGATAGGGTTCGATGCGGCACTCATAATGTGCGCTTTGACCCTCGACCAGATGGGTAGGTCCGTTCAATTGGACGGTAAACGATGGTTTCTCCGTGACCACAATCTCCTCCTCCTCGTGCCGTTGATACTTGCTGGTGTCCTCGAGCGCCTGGATTTTCTGCAGCGCGCCCTCGTGCTGCGACTCGAATTGCAGGGCCGCCTTGGCTGTGTTTGGGGAACAGGTTTGTCAATGTGTTGTAAGAGTGTCATGAATTGCGGTGATACGGTTTAGGTGGAAGGTGGTAATAAGAGTTAAGCGTTCATTCGTGGTATTTATTGATAAATTAAGACTCATTCCACGCCAAATCGGTCATCTTACTTCGATGTCAGGAATCTTTTTTTAAATTTCGGAGAAAAATTCAATTGAAGGTATAAAATGTCAATAAATACCAAAAGTGTTTCGTATAAAAAAAAGTATAAAAATATTAATGTTTCTGTTACAATCATGGCTACGTGTTATGAAGTATGTAAAAAAATTTCGGTCTCCTGCGTTTCGTCTTTATCAAAATCTATAAAAAATATTCTACTTCGCAAAAAAAAGTACGTTGCACACAAAGTACAAAAAAAGGAAGTTCTACTTTTAAGCAGCCGTATCTACACGATTTGGAAGCTGATCCATGGCTTACGAGAAGCGATTACTGGAAATCGAAGCTTCAAAGTAAATGTTATAGTTAGACTGCGGATTTTTATGCAAAATAAATTATTTACGGTATCAGTTTAAAAAATGTGTTTCAAATAAAAATTTCTTTTCTTTACGCATTATACGCAGTATTTGTATTTTTTGTACACTCAAGTTCCTCGTAAATGCATAAAATCCGCAGTCTAGTCATAGTTGTACTTACATTGGACGAAGAGCGTTGCCGATGTCACTGCTTCTCCCAAGTCGTTCCTCGCGCGGCAAGTGTACGTGCCAGAGTCCTCAGGATTCACGTATTTCATATTCAGAGCGACGTAACCGAAATCGTGCATCGTCGTCACGCGATTCGCTGCCAGCAGAAGATTAATTTAAATACACTGCCGGTAGAAATTTTCTTAATAACAGTGATTCTGATAGGATTTTTAAAAGAGACGTCAAATGATTTCTTTAAGTTCCATTTACTTACATATGTTTAAAATCCTTTGAATTTTGTAATGCGTAACAGAAGTAGATTATAAAATTAATATGAAATGCGAATCAGAAGTAGATTATAAAATCAATATGAAATGCGAGTTATTGTTAAGTAAAAAAAATATTCAATTCAGGAGAATTGAAATGTTCCGATTAAAACTATAAATAAATTGAAACTCACAAGCTGCTATCGGGACTCCATTTCGCAGCCACTCAACTTTCAGCTTGGAATCGCCGACGGGGATCACACGAGCTTCGAAGTGAGCCGCTTGATTTTCGGCGACTCTCAGATCCTTGATAGGCATAGTGAAGACTGGAGCTTGAGTAACTATTTCCTCCGTCGTGGTCTTACGCTGGTATCGAGAAGTGTCTTCCAGATAATGAATTCGCTGAAGAGTCTCTTCATTCTGAGTTTCCGTGTAAATCGACTTTTTCGCTATTCCAAACAAAATTGTAAATAATTATAAACAATGAATATTTATATTATATATTAGGTTGTCTTGAAAATTTCTTCCGATGTTTGTGCTCCCTTTAAATTTTCTATACTCAGACCTATCTTAATCCACCCCATCAAAAATCGTAACGAAATTTTCGGACAACCCATAGTAAGTTTTTCTAAGAAACCAGACACTATTCTCTAATAATTTATGTCGTGAGTGAAACGAAGTATTTTAAAATTGATTAGAAATTTAGACTTACAATGCACAACCGCAGTTGCAGAGGTGATCGCCTCTCCAATAATATTCTTCGCGCGACAGGTATAAGTGCCAGAATCTTCAGGATAGGCGTACATAATATCCAAAGCAACGAAGCCAAAGCTGTTCGTTTCGACAAATCTAGATCCAGCTTTAACAGGTTTGTTATTATGGAACCATTCGACTTTCATTGTTGCATCGGAAACGGGGATCAATCTGCATTCGAAGTGAGCTCTCTGGCCCTCCTTGATCTCTACATTATTTAAGGAGGTGGTGAAGATCGGTGCCTGTGTGGTTGTTTCTTCTATATCTTCACGTCGTTGGTATTTAGTACGATCTTCCAAATAGTGGATGCGTTCGAGGCCAAGCTCGTTCTGCGTGTCGGTCAAGACCTGCGCTGTCGAACGACAGGTCAATGTGCAAGACACTTCGTCACTTCCAACAAGATTGACGGCGCGACATGTATAGGTTCCAGAGTCCTCGGCGATTAGGTCGATGACGTCCAGAGCGACGTAACCGAAGTCGTGTATCGGACGGAATCGATGTCCTGATTGGAAATTAAATATATTTATAATAATTATAAATTTATTATTAATTAATTATATAAATAATATCGAGACCTAATTTTTAAGGCTATAGATAATGTGAAAAGACTCTGATTGATAATAAATAAGTTTAAGATAATTACCTATTGTGACTGGACGGCCGTTTTTGTACCACTCAACCTTCAGGTTGGAGTCAGTCACGGGTTCTAATTTGCATTCAAAGTGAGCGTATTGTCCTTCACGAAGATTCTCCTGGTTCTTCGGTGCGGTGATAAATCTCGGTTTAACGTTGACTACTTCGTCGACCAATTCGCGTCTCTTATATCTGGACGCATCCTCCAGATACTGTATCCGTTCCAAACCCTCAGGATGCTGTGATTCCAACAACAGATCCTTCTTTGCATGTACTCGCACTGAGCAGGAAGTGACAGCTTCACCCAGTTGATTTCTCGCTTGGCATGTATACACGCCCGAGTCGTCAGGATAAACACCAAGGATATCGAGTGCCACGTAGTCGAACTCATAGGATGGTCTGAATCTGTGGCCAGTCTTCACTGGTCTACCATTGACGAACCATTCGACTTTCATGGTGGCATCGCCGACTGGTTGAAGGCGACATTCGAGATGGACATTCGTCAGTTCAACCGTTTCTGCGTTGTGCAAAGGTCGGGTAAATTGTGGCGGCTGCATCACTGTCACCTCTTCTTGTTGGGTTCTTCGATATCTACCGTTCAAACACATTAATATACATACAATATCATGATTGATCCGACAGTAAAATCGTGGAAATAAAAATTAAATATACAGTAAACAACAAAACTGTCAATGAATCGTGTCTGTAATTGTCTATAAATCAACACCTTTTAAAATTGAATAACTTTTTTTTTTAAATCGAACCAAACGATCGAAATTTTTGTTAGTATTTAGGTGTTAGTAGTTTATCAAATGATGTGTACAGAAAATTTTGAAAGAATTGAAATTAGTAGAAATTTCAAACAAAAAAGTGAAGATAGTTTTGTATATGGGCTTGTAATCAAAATTTGAACAATACATTTTGGACATTTATATGAGATCAGTATATGCTGAAGATTTCATAAAAAATGGCATGTTACCTTGAAGAGTCCTCGAGCATTTGAATCTGCTCAAGTGACTGCTCGTGCTGAGTTTCCGTGACGATATCAGATTTGCCAATGACTCGAACACAGGCTGAAGTATGAGCAGTGCCAAGGTGATTAGTGGCTCTCACAGTGTATTCACCAGAGTCCATAACCGTCGAGTGAACAATATCCAATGCGACGAAACCGAAATCGTAGTAAGTTCTGAATCTGGAGCCGACGGTGACCGGTCGACCGTTTTGGAACCACTCGACTCTCATCGTTGGATCGCCCATCGGTTCCAAACGGCACTCCAAATGGATGTTCTTGCCTTCGCTCACTGGTTTTGGATCGCTCAATGGTTGTACGAAGATCGGCTTTGATTTTGAAATTTCCTCGATGTGATATTGAGGCTCAACAAACTTTGATTCTTCCAAACGTTGTGTTTTCTCGTACGTAGCGCGGTGCATGCTGCTGGTGTCCACGCCCGAACGTGCTATAATTAAAATCGATTATTATTCATAGAAGTGATAAGACGAGAATCTGTGGAATATTATAGACTATTTTCTATTGCTATAAATTATTAATTAGACTGCAGATTTTTATGCAAAATAAAATATTTAGAAAATAGAATTGCATTATGAAATTTAGACACGGTTAAATTAAATGTCACAGCATCCATTTTGCTTCCAATATTTTTTATGATTTTGCATATTGAGTGCACTGTTCAAAATTCAGCACACTTATATATTTTGAAAGAGTATAAAAATCTGTAGTCTATTAATAATATTTTTTTTTTTTACTTACTTTCTATAACCATGGTGGCTGACAGTTGAGCTTGTCCAAGAGCATTTCTAGCAACCACAGTGTAAGTCCCAGCGTCTTCAGATCTGACCTGAAGAATGTCTATAGCCACATATCCAAAGTCGTGATAAGTTTGAATCCTATTGGCAGCAGTGATGGGTTTCCCATTATGGTACCATTCGATGGTCATGGTCAGATCGCTCTGTGGTTCGACGCGAGCTTCGAAGTGGGCACGCTGACCTTCGACGATCTTATTGGTACCCTTTAGGTTTCCTAAAAATCGTGGAGCCTGAATTACTCGCGTTTCTTCCTCTACTTGGCGCGAGTATCTGCTCGAATCTTCCAGAGTTTGAATCTTCTGAAGTCCAGTGGGATGTTGACTGTCGTAAATGACGTCGTTTTTGCTAATCACGCTCAGTTGAGCCGTTGTATGGGCCTCGCCCGCGCGGTTGTATGCGCGGCAGGTGTATATGCCGACGTCGTGGATCGTTACGTATTTTATGGTCAATGCCACATAGCCGAAGTTGAAGAATGTCGTGATCCGTGAACCTGGATAACAAGTTCATTTTTCGTATGATTATTTTTAATGCGATCGAATTATTTATGCGAGGGATGCTAATAAACTGTATTTTGCATTTTGGAGTTCTAAATTCTGGCTACTCACTTGCTTCTACAGGGCGTCCGTCCTTGAGCCATTCAACTCTCAGTTCGGAATCACCGACTGGCTCTAAACGAGCTTCGAAATGAGCATATCCGCCTTCTCGTATGCTGTTCTGATCCTTGATAGGGGATTTAAATTCCGGTGGGCTGGTCGGTTCAGGTTGCTCCTGTACGTATCTCAGGTGCAGCGCCTGTTGATAAGCTTCCAACTCCTCGGCAGCCTCGATGTACCTCTGTTGCTCGGGGATTCCTAAATCTGAAGTAACGCTTGTGCGTGCTGTGAAGTAAATGTTAATTTTTTTAGCGAGAATTCATGTTAATTATTTATTTATTTCTATACAGGTATAATATATTTAGTGTTCGACATAGACCTGCGGTTAATTTAGATTCGGCGAGTTAGATTCGAGCGTTAGGATTGAGTGATTAGAGTTTCAGTTACATGTATTTACCAAAGACACGGAGAGACGCGGAGCTGATAGCCTCTCCCAAGCGGTTCACAGCTCTAACAGTGTAAGAACCCGCATCTTCAGCTCGTAGGTGCAATATATTGAGCGAGACGTATCCGAAGTTGAAGATGGTTGTGATTCTTGAGCCTGAGTAGATTCAAACATGACGTTGTTTCATTTTCATATTTGTTTCTATTTTTAATAATTTAATTGCATAAATATGAAATTCTTGAATTGAAGGGGACTTACTAGCTGTGATCGGCCTGCCATCCTTGAACCACTCCACTTTCATCGTGGGGTCACTCACAGGGGTCAGTTGCGCCTCGAAATGGGCGTTACGTCCCTCCTGCAGTTCTCCTAGATCCTGGAGCGGTCGGATGAAGGCCGGCCGCTGTGAAGAGATATCCTCCACACTCTCCTGCCTTTGATATTTGCTGTAATCCTCGAGCTGTTGAATGTACTGGAGGCTGTCGGGGTGCTGACTAGCCTGTTCGATTGTTGCGCGAGCTGAAACAACAATCCATAATACACTAACTTTTATAATGACTTAGATAAAAAAATGATGAGGCAATTATCGGCTGTAAAAGTCATGATACTTTTAAAAAATGTTTGATTCTATAATGTTTTCTTAACGACTTACGCGTCACGCTGAGGGTAGCTCGAGATTCGGCGACTCCGGTTGAACTTACGACGCGGCATAAATATTCGCCGCTATCTTGAAGAACAATGCTAAGCAAATCGAGCGATATGAAGCCAAATCGGAAAATGGAAGTCGCCCGGGAACCTGTAATTTTCAAGTTAATTATAAAATCAAAATTCGATCAGACTCTAAGTTTCAGATACAAGAGTAGAGGGATTACTTACTTGCTTCGAGAGCTCTTCCATTGATGTACCACTCTACCCTCATGGTGGGATCGCCCACCGGTTCGATTCTGGCCTCGAAGTGAATACGTCCACCCTCGATCTGATGGACGTCCCTCAAAGGTATGATGAAACGTGGCGGTGGATAGACTCTGTCTTCCTCCGGTGGAGGCAGATACGGCTTGGCACGTTCCACATGTCTCAAGTAAATCACTTCGGGGCCAGGCGCTGGTCTATAAAGGTTCATATTATAATTGAATGTTCGTTTTTAATATACTTATGTATTATATTTAATTTAGCACGATCATTAATTTTTTAAAATACAAAAGGAATTGCTATTTTGATTTAATTTCCTACATTGACATACCGCAGTTAATTTATTACTCTAAACAAGAAATGAGCTCACTCTGGTTCGATGATTTTCGTCGGTCGGGGTAAATTCAGGCGTCTTGGTTCGGGGGCTACTCCCTTCGGTGTTTCCACGAATAGCCGTGCTCTGGTTGCCGTCGAGCCAGCCACGTTCTGCGCCGTGCACTGGTACCAGGCTGCATCCGACAGTTTCGCGTAGGGTATATCCAAACTCGAAGCTCCGCTTCCGTCCGTCGATATGCGAACGTCCGGTCCGGGTGTTAACGGCACTCCATCCTATTCCAAACAATTGATAAATTGAATTTTCGATTTACAGCATCAATTAAGCAATCTATAATGTTTGTTTCTTGTAATGTTCTACTAAAAATGTTTATATATTTAATTTATATGTATTCTTTTTATATGTAATCTTAGGCAAGTGAATAGAAATAGTAATGTGAGGAGAAATATAATAAATATATTAAGTGCGTTATATATTTATATACATATAAATATAATGAAAGCATAAAGAATTCTTTGAGAATTACCTTCTGCCAGCTGATACGGGGTACGGGAGTACCAACAGCGCGTGCCATGAAAACAACTGGTTCACCCTCCTTGACGGTAGCTGTGGTGAATCGTTCGACGAATTTGGGCGCGAGCACTTGTTCCTTTTCGATCACGTTCAAATTACACTGGAAGGATGTCTCTCCAGCCTTGTTCCTGGCAACGCAGGTCACCACGCCAGCATCGCTGCGGCTCACGTTCGTGATCATCAACGAGTTGTTCCCGGATTCGTTCACGAGGATCTTGTGGGTCAGGTCGTTGGCCACTTGCTGTCCGTTTATGTACCACGTCACCTCTGGGTACGGGCGACCCGTCACGCGACAATCAAACCTGTAAATCATTTTTTAAACATCACTCTATTATTCTCGAAATTATAATAAATAATTATGTGTGTCTACTTAATGAAAAATTGCAATTTCTTTTTATTTTTGTTACATGTTATTTAACTGATTTTATGTAAAATCGAACGAACCTAGTCATTTTTCCTTCGGTGGCATCGCGGTCGGTGCATGTGCGAACGAAATTCGGTGGTAGAACCTTTCCAGATTCATCGCCAGTTGTTTCTACTTGTTGCGGTTTGACCGTCTCCCGCTGAGTCTGATAAGCTTGATCTACCTGATCGGTAGACTCGATCGCCAAATACGCGGAGCTGACGGTGCAGCCTTGAGGGTTCTCAGAGAGTAGGGTATAATTTCCGCTGTCCTCCGGCAAAGCCATTCGGATTTTCAGGGTGGCTTGCTGATTCGAGTAGCTCGTCTCCACGCGTTGAGAATCGCGGATCCTCTGACCGTTTTTGAACCAAGTCAACTGAAATACAAAATTAAATATAAATTAACCAATGGTCCAAGTATTGAGAACTTCTTCAAAAATTCGATTTCATTTTTAATTCAATTTTCAATATTATGTTTACAATATTTGAAGTCAAGTACAATATTTAACCATGAAATCGTTATTTCACAATAATAGGTATTGTAGTTTTTTCATGACTGTTTACTAAATTGAAAGTAAAAAAACTTTCGACACTTACTCTTGGTTTTGGGTTACCCGAGATCTTCGCAGTGAAAACGGCATCGGATCCCTCGACGAGCTTCGAGCTTCTCGGTTTCTGTGTGATTTGCGGAGGTGCGACCGGTCCCAGGCTACGGTCTACCGTCGTCGAAATCTGCGCGTCGGATTCGCCCACGAAGCGGCGCGTAATCGACTCTCGATATTCGGTTTCGCGCAACAGTCTGTATTCGAAGGTGTCCACCTGAAAATTGATCATTCAATTTAAGTAAATAAACATTAACTCAAAATCAATATAAAGAAACAAACTTAAGACTTAAAAATATTTTTTAGAAATCCATTTATTACATATTATATGTAATATCATAAAAATGCATAAGAGAGTTGCAGATTTTTTAATTAATATTCCTAAATTTGAATCGACACTTTTATTTTTTAATTTAGGTTTAAGAATTCAGATTCATTAATTAAGAATTCAAATGCAATCATTAATTTGAATTTCGTCCAATTAAGCTATTTAAATAGTTGTAATTCCTAATTAGTCTAATCGAAATCAAACCGTGCGTTAATTGCCAATTAGTATTAAATTCAATTAAAAATTTAATCATTTAACTGCAATAGAATGAATGGAATAATTATCTTAGAGTTAATATATTAAAAGAAATTTCATATTTATATTTTAAACACATTCTTTGGTATACCAATGAGTAAACACGAATCATGTTATTATTTGACAAGAATCTTTTTCTTCATGTCTTCTAATAAATTTATAGATAATAGATTATACGAAGTGGATGGAGGAACGTACCTTGAAGTCTTCGATGCTGGTCGATGTTCCGTTAACGTAACTTCGTTTATCGATTGTTTGTTGATAACTACGTTGTTGGAAACTTTGAGTTCCTGTTTGGCTCTTCTGCTCAGTGGACTGAAAAGACTGCGCATATTCCTTTTTGAAACCTCCCAATTGTTGTTGCGGTGGTGGCCCGAATCCCTCTGGTTGGATGTAAACGGAGCAGATCGCTTCGCCTGAATAAGTAAAAATTATTCATATCTGTAAACTGTTATTACTAATTTGATTTTAGAATGCAGAACTCACCATACTGATTTTTAGCACTGCACGTGTATTCCCCCTCGTCTCCGGGGCCGATTTGATTTATCTGAAGCGTGACTGCGCCGGTCTTGTCGTCGTAGGACATTCGAAATTTCCATGATTCCAACAACGGTGCACCCTTGTGCGTCCAGGACACGTTCGGTTTCGGGTTACCTCGGACGCGACCCTCGAAAATCGCGTTCCCACCCTGCGCGAATCTGGCGTTCTTGAAGATCTGTTCGAAGACCGGCGGCGATGGATCACCGGGTCTGCCGGTAAATCTGTATACGAAATTTATGTACATACGTAGAATCGTCTATGCGAGCTATTAAGAAACAGGGCAATTTTAAACTAAGAGCGAAGAGGATGGCCACCGGAGGGGTTTTAGTTGGTAAAAATCCCACATCACCCTTCCTATTCTCTCTCCCCGCCCCCTCCAGGGTGGAAGGGTATCTTTGAAAAATTTTCCTACCGTTATCAAAAACAAAGTTAGGTACCAAAGTTAGGTTGTGTTTTGCTACAAAAATTGCGAGTTGCTACATCAATGTAAACATGACACATATAGATACTCACGTTGGTACCGTGGGCGTTGTCTGCATCACAATCTCCCCTTGAACTGCAACAAAAAGTATAGCAAAAACTTGATTTCAATTATTAACTCATTTAGATCATTAGCGCATATACACGCTCAATTTTGTTGTTATCGCAAGAGAATTAAGTATGGTATGATATTTTCTGATAGCTAGAAAATAAAAATGGAGGGTATTATTAAAAATAAAAGTAGTTCTGATTAGAGTGAAGAAGAACGAAGACGAATTATTGAAATAAGATCCGGCAGTGATGATACTGATAATAAATAATCATTGCCATCTAGGTTTATTGGACAATATTTTCTACTAATGATGCGAACGAAATGATTATCTATTACAAGACTTATGTCGTACGAAAAATTAGTTTTATTTCAATTTGCGCATGACAGGCTGGGAATTGTTCGAACGAAAGAAAAATGTGCAATCCTGTTGCTTGCTTATTTGAAGACTACGATTTCCACTTGCGGCGTATTCTCTACGAGTACATTTCCTCTCGTTCCTCTGAACTGGACCAGAACGGATCGAGGAAACGAACCGTTGACGCCGTTTTCTTCTCTGTCGTCGTCACGCGGCATGCCGATCGCGTAATTGAGTTAATTCTTTAGATTGAACACGTTGACGCAGGATACTTACTGTAATCTGATTCTGCTAATTGACATTTGGTGCTCTTTACATTCGAACATAAAGAAATCAAGTTTCTACTGATACGTTAATAGCAGATAAAGAATATGATAAATAATTCCAAAAAAAATACAAGATTATTTATCACTGCAATCTTTTAAGTGAAAATCTGAGTATCTTTTTCTTTTAGTAGAATGTCTGTAACTGAGAGAAAATATTTGTTTCTAGGGAAGGCAGATGAATATTTCAACATCGTTTGTATATTTAATAAAGACCAACTACATATTTCTTTATATTTTAGTCGATCGGTTCCCTTTCGTGCTCAACGTGTACGATAATTCAATTCGACTCTCCACATATACACACACACACATACACACATACAATTTTGAACGTATTCTGAAAATCGATCTACATCGATATCTACCAGTCCAACAATAACACATTTTAACTGTTAATAGTTTCACACCATAAGGATGTATTGGCTATA